CGCGCCGCGGCCCCCACCCGTGGGGCGGAAAGGGCAGAGCCAGCCGCGGCGGCGGAACTCACCCGCAGGGCGTGCTCCCGGTCCAGCACGATCACCCTCCGGTTGACGGTGTGCAGGAGCCTCTCCAAGACCAGCTGGACGTGCTGCTTCACCTGTGCCTGCAAGGCAAGAGGTGTCACCCGAGCGCCCGGCGCTGCCTGCCCGGCACCGGGACAGGGCACCGGTGACAGCACCATCACCGCAGCCACCGGGATGGCCCCGAGGCGCAGAGCCAGCTGGGCTGGGGACATGCCACCTCCCGGGCCACATGCCACTGGCCCTGTGGCACTGCCACAATGGCTGTGACTCACCAAAAATAGCAGGTAAAGAGGATGCAAAGTGTTTGCAGTGGTGGGATGGCTGGGACAGCTGGGGATGGATGGGAATGGATGGGGACAGATGGGGACAGCTGGGGATGGCTGTGTCTGCTCTAGCCCAAGCTGTTCCCCAGAGCAGTCAGTGCTGCAGGCAAAGGTGCTGACACGGAGCTAGAACAGGAGAGGGATCTCCACCCAAAAGTGTCCTGCTTGTCTTCTCCTCAAGGCTATTTAAGGTTTCAAATTTGAGGCCAAATTTCATCCATAATTTCTAAGCTTTCCTCTCCTTTACCAGGGCTTCCCAGTGCCACTGGGATTGCAAAGCCACACTGGCACAGCCACCTCACCCACCCAGGACATGGTAGCACACATCTAACAGCTTCCAGAGCACCGGTCACTGTGCTGTGGGTGTGACATCTGCACTTCCCGAGGGGTCCCACAAAGACACCCCAAGGCACAGACCAGCCTAGAAAGGACAGAACCGGAGCAAGATCCAGAGCACAGACAGAATGCTAGGATGGTTTGTGTGGGAAGGGAACTTCAAGCTCATCCAGTCCAACCCCCTACATGGGCAGGGACACCTCCCAGCAGACCAGGTTGCTCCAAGCCCCATCCAACCTGAACACTTGAACGCTTCCAGGGATGGGGCAGCCACAACTTCCCTGGACAACTGTGGGCTGGGTCTTGTGGGGAGTAATGGTAGCCCAGTGATGGGCTCAGTGGTGTCCCAGGAATGACAGAGATGGCAGCACTTCAGCAACACAGGGAAAGGGGGACAGCACCCAAGTATGGACATGCCATGGACAATGAAGTACCAAGGTGGTGGGGGCCAGGGCAAGTGACCGTACAGGGTTTGTCACCACAGTGAGGTGCAGATAAGCCCTTCCCAGGTGTGCAGGAGATCCTGGTGCCTTCCCACCCTCTGCCCAGTGCTGAAGCCCCCTGGAGCAGCACTCACCAGCTCCATGTCCCCACGGTTCTTGTGCTGTCCCACACCTGCACACTGCTTTGCTCGCAACTCCTCTGCTCGCTGCAACAGACAGCATCCCGGGAAGTGAGGCTGATGCCCAGGCAGGGACAGCCCCATCCCACCGGAGACCAGCCCAGGACACTGCCTGGCACCTGCCTTCCCCCAGCCCTGAGAAGCAGGGACAGCAGAGCACAGCCAGCCAGACACTCCCCTGGCCCCAAGGTCCATGCCTTCTCTTGGTTTGAAGGCCTCCATCTCACTCATGGGGACTCGCCAGAGACCAGCTGAGGTGGAAATCAAAATGTTTGTACCCCCAGCTTGGGCACTGGGATGGTGGGCATGACCACAGCCAGTCCCAACCATATTGTGCCCAGTTAATTTGTGTTTAGCCCTGCTCAAACAGATTTAGTCAGGTCATTCCTGAGGCAATTACTGGAGAGGGAAAAGGAGGCAGTGGAGAAGACAGGATTTACCTTCTGGGCCTTGTACAGCACCTCCAGGATGTTGCTGAGCAGCTCAATGCAGGCATCCTCTTCCTCCCCCTTCTGGATCAGCTCCTGCAGGATGGGCACCACCGCCTGCAGCAGCAGCTCCCGGCACTCTGTTGGGATGGACAGGGAGCACAGGGCTGGCAGGCACCGGCATCGCTGCGGCACCGGCATCGCTGCAGCACCAGAGAGAACAGGGCAGGAAAGGGACCAATGGGATGGACAGGACCAGAATAACACCCGGGCTGGGCTGAAACCCACATGCACAAGCTGCCAACTGCCTCTTGGTTAGAGCAGGAGCTCTGGAAAAACACTAAATCCTGGTGGCAAGGCTCCAACAGAGACTTCCTTGTCCAGAGGAGCTGGGTTGTGTCACATCCCAGGCAGCAAGGGGAGAGATGTGGGGAAGGACCCAGGGTAGGATGTGGGAAGGGATTCAGGGAGCACCCACAGGATTGTGGTGTCTCAGAGGAGAGCTGGAGCAGGTGGCAGGAGGTGACCTGCCACCCACACTCAATGGCTGAGTCAGACATGGTCATGTTGCCACCTCTCAGAGTCTCCCCAGGCAGAGACCCCCGTGGCTTCAGCTGCCCAGAGCTGCTCCCCTGAGCCTGCTGCTACAGCTGCAGCCAGGACCCCTGGCCCAGCTCCCCTGGGCAGCCCACTCCTCTTCTCTTTGAAATGTCATGTGGATATTTGGAAGCTCATCATGTCACCTCCGTGCCCTTTCCTGGCTCAAACTCCTCAACTATTTTTTCCTCACCATGACTTCTATGCTCTGCTTCTCTCACTGCTTGCTTTGGAGTTTCTCCAGTTTAGACAAAAGTTTCTTGTGCCACCCAATATTGTACTTTTTGGTGAGCCCAGAAGAGGCTCCACTGATGCTGAGCAGGGAGATGGCACATCCCAGGGGTGCTCTGCCCATTGCCAAGACCCTCTGCTGCCCCAGCCCCAAACCCCTCCTGCAGCTCTGCCACCACCCTGGGTTCCCTCATCTGTTCACTCAGTAATTGCTCTCACCTGATTGTTTTTATGGTCTATATCTCTCAAAACTTGTCCTCAAGCTTGTTGAGATTGGTACAAATCCTGAGTCTGTCCTCAGTGTGCTGCTCCTGCCTTGCTGCTCCTGCCTTGCAGCTCCTGCCTTGCAGGGCAGAATTCACCAAGTCTAGTCTTTTTCTATCATTAGGCCAGCAAAGAGCATCAGAGTCAGGGCAGACCTGGGGAACCCAACTCAACGTGTCCTTCCAGCCCCAACACCCCCTTCCCCAACCACTGCTCCCAAACCATGGTCACACTGAGAGCATGTTGCCTCAGCTCAGCTGCTGGGGCCCCAGCCCATCCTCACCATAGGACTGGAAGACCTTGCTGTTGACGATGTCACTCAGGGACTGCAGCTTCTGCTTCAGCAGGCGCTGGGGCGGCAGGTTCCCGATGAAGTCCCGCAGCAGGGCCCTGCCAGCCCAGCCAGGGGATGCAAGGAGTGTTAAACAGGGAGCCTGCAAGAACCTCACTGGGTCTGCAGCACCCCCACCCTGGCAGCCCCTTCCCTTCAGAACAAGACAAAAGCAGTAGCAGAGGCTGGGTACCAAACACCCTCGCGTTTTGGTCAGGATGGGGCAGCAGGGCAGGGGCAGAGCCAGGCAGGATGGTCCCACTGCACAAGGCCCCAGGGCTGCCTCTGCCCAACGCAGACCCAGCGTAAAAACCCCACCTAAGCTCCCAAAGAGGCCCACTGGGAACGGGGGTTTCCAGGCCCAGCCCCTGCCTGAAGCACTAGGCACTGCTAAAATCGAGCAAACGTCCCTCTGGTTCCGTGCTAGGAAGGGCACGTGGAGCCACCTCAGGAAGCCCAGACCCCACCACCTGCCCTCGCTCAGCGGCATCAGCCCCACCCCACCGGCAGCTGCGGGACCAGGGCTCACAGCAGGGTGGCAGCAGGGACAGAGGTGGCAGCACAACACAGAGAGGGGCTGGGGGTGGCAGGGGTGGCGGGGACCGTACCCCAGTGCAGCAGAGTCGAAGATCCCAAAGACGTCCTGGAGGATGGAGGGGACGTACTTCAGGGCTGCTCCCTGCAAAGAGACAGGAGCTGCAGGACCAGCCCGGCCTCGCCAGGCGCCCGCGGGCAGGACGGACAGACCGACGGACGTGTGACAGACCCATGCCTAGTGCCAGTTCACCCGGGGTGCCCGGACAAGCTCGCTCGGACACACCCGCGGGGCACAGTGAGCACGGAGAAGCCGCGCACAGGACGG